GGGCGGGGTTTGGTCTTTGACACCCGGATCCGGAGACGGAGACCAAGGTAGTGAGACGGAAAGACCTAATGAATAGGAATGGTAGTGAGATGATGATACAAGAATTGAGAGAGAATGGGGAAGTGGAAATCGGGAGTTATTTATTAGGTAGTTTCTGGTTCTGGTCCCCATCGACTGTGACGGATACTACTTACGCATTTATCATCCCGGTGGGTTTTGAAGTTGTGAGTCTGCAGCTGTCAACACGCAACCCCTTCTATAGTGTTGGTCCTGTACATTAAAGTCACTCGGCTTATCTTTTATAAGAAATGACTGAATTGCTCTTACATGAGACTGAATATGTCATCATCCAAACCTTTTGCTCTCCAAGTAGGCAATGATTACTGATAAGCTACAGTATACCTCGGTAACTAGTGCAGTATCTCGGATCATATCATATTCATTCCTCAAGTTCCGGTGAAAGCGATACTTATTGCAAACAATCCGCGATGCTGCAGTAATTTCCTATGGTTATTGTGCTTCCCTAATTTATTACAAAGGCTCTATCATTAGCCCCTATCAATCCCAGTTTATTTGAGTGAGAGTCATGTCCGGAGAAGCAACCCGCAGAGGCTGAGAATGAGAGAAACCCGAGTAATCTCAATGCAATAAAGATCAAAGTAGAGGATCTTGCAAATCCGCGAGAGCCTACACAGAAAGAGTCTCTCGGAGAATACTTGCTCTTCCATCATCATTTCATTCTTACACTCCATACATTTCGTGCGTCTACAACACCAGCTGGCTCAGGTGCAAAGGTGTTTGGATGAAATTATTATGCGATAAATACTACCATTATGTGGGATATCAGACTACTAGCCAAAGCAAACATAAACAAGCCTCCATCCTATGCCAATAAACAACAGAAATTGCGCCCAACACCGTACTGTGCTTTCATCATCCATGAAACATCACTCCTCCTTGTCCTTGTTCTCCTCATCCTCATCATCCTCAGCTCCCCAATCTCTCCATCCCTGGCCCTGAAGCCAGCTGACTCCCTTTCGCCAGTTAGTCTCGCGGATTGCTTGGGCATCCTTCTCGTAGACAACACCAGTGACCATGAGTGCCAACATGAAGACCCAGACATCGCCGCCCTTCATGCTCTTCCACCAACGTCGCTTCACACCAACCTTCCAGAGGCTGTCAACACTAGCGCGGGCGCTGTACAGGAACAGTCCACGGCCATTTCGTCGCTCAACAAATGCCCAGAGGCCAGCAAAGAAACCACCGAGGAAGACACGCTGAGTCGCGAGGACGTGGCGTGGAAGCCATTGCTGGAAGAAGCAGATTGAAGCCCAGGCTGTGGAAAGCGCACCTGTCGCAAATGTAGACATGCGGAGAGCCTTGGTGATGATGCGCTGGAGCGTAACCAGAGGATTATGGTAAAGACTGGAGAATCGGGGAATGACGGTGAGCGCAGAGAAGACTGCGACGAAGAAGCGAGCAAAGGGCGGGAAAGTCTGAAGCCAGAAAGTAAGATAAGTTCGAGCACAAGATGGGTCTCCCGGGTGCAGAGTGGCGCATGAGAGGGATGTGATGAGAGGATGAGCTCGAGATGTCAGTGGCGCGATTGCGCTGAGGCTAGGAGGAAGAACCTCTTTGCCAGGGAAGAGAGTGGGAGAAACATAGGCACTATGACGGTCAGCATAAGGTCTTTTTCTCGGGGCTTGTTGACTTACGGCCAGCTCAGGCGCGCCATTTGAGCCAAGCTGTCAACGATCTCAGAAGTCTGAGGCCACTTGACGCTCGACGACCAATCCTGCGGGCGTGGGTGCAAGTAAGCCGAAGAACTCTTGAAGATCAAGTCTCCAAAAGGCTTGGGGAAGCAATCGCGATCGAAAACAGCAGCATGGAGAAGCTGTCCAAAAGCAAATGGCTGCAACATCCAGCTTCCGAACCACCAAGGCCTCTCCCTCTTGATACCGTTCTTGCGGCCCCAGATAAGGCCATCAGCCTCACAGAAATTGTAGGCAAACTCCAAAGCACGGAAGATTGTGTAAATGGCGATAGTGACACGCATCTTTTGTGCTGGGTAGATGCCAAGAGCCAGGCCAGCGAATGAGGCACCAATGGCTGGTGCAGAGGGAGATGTCAGCATCGCTGCAGTTCGGGGATTGCGTGCACGGAAAGGCTCGACTTGGGGGTCAAGGAGATGCACACGCAGTCGAGTGAAGAAACGGAAGAGGATTCTGTAAAGGAGAAGAATGGTAGAAAGCGAAATAGACAGCCTCAGGGCGGGAGACTTGTAGAATGGCTTCTTTTTACCACCAGTGCTGGGTCTGTTGAGAATCATTAGCCATTTGCACGATTATTTCATCAGTGAGCTACTCACTCTTCTTTCCCCATCCTCTTCGCGACAATATCCCATCCCTTCATGCCGAGAAAGGTCATCACAAAGACCCTAAGCGCATGTCGCACTGTTCTAGCATTATAATCATCACCACCTTTTGACGGCTGCAGCGCCTTTTCAACACGGTTTGGCGTTGGAGTTGCGCGACGCAGTACGCGGGATCGAGATAGTATGTACTTGTGCAGACTTGCATATTCGTGAGCTGAGATGGTGTAGCGCAGCGTGTTTCGAAGAACAGGGTCGTTGACAGCTCTTGAAGATCGCGAGCTCGAAGCGTCGCCTGAAGAAATGGAGGATTCCATTGTGGTTAAGGAGCGGATGTTGTTATTGTTGTTGATAAAAGGATCGTGTTTGGTTCAATTTATGGCGTGTCTGCGGTTCCACGAGCTGAGCTCCAGCGGCGCATTCGAGCAGTAGCTCCGAAGAGAGGCATCAAGTAAATGAGTAGACCAATTTATCTGAATCAAAAATGGCCTGGACTTGGTTACACAGCTTCAGTGCTGAGTGGTCCAGATCGAGGCTCTCACATCCAGTCTGTTCGTTTGTTGATGAAGTGAAGCAAAGTGAAGCAAAGTGACGAATGGTGGGAGGCACGGAAGGGATGAAATCACAAGAACTTGGAAATGAGCAAGACGACGTAAAGTGGAGAATTCTACCTCGGCTCTTGGTCTAAGCTGACCTTGCCCACTATCTCTTGATATCGAGACCCTGCTAAGGCTATCCCAGTTAATTAAAGCAATGCTCAATTAGCGAATAGAGACACGCGATATCGTTGCTAATGGGGGCGTCCAACAGGGGTTCCCCGCCCTCGGTAGCTAAGTTGCTCTTCTCCAGCCCGACATCACCATCACATGAAATTCATCTAGTTACACGTTCAACTTTGTCAACTACCAAAAGAGGCTTGTCTCCCGATAACATGCCCACTATGCGCATGAAAAAGTCATATCGTCATAAGGCACTTCACATTAAACGCATAAGTCAGTCTGGGGTATCAAACCAGTCGTAAAAAGGCTACCTAATGCTATCTCTCAAATGAGAGACACAACGACGCATACTCCATTTGATGCCGAAACTACCGTCCTTTTTAACTTCCAATGTCACTAACTATCATTCATCATAACCCCTTCATATCAGTCCAGCCCAGTCCAGTCTGATCCAGTCCTAGGCGATTGTGATGCCAGCCAGACCCAGGACAAGTGAGATTGAACCACCAGTCCTAGCAATATGGAATCATTAAATACTTTTTGTTTTCTTTTTCCTTCCCGTGCCTCCCACCAAAGTTTCCATTCGTTAAAAACATTCCTCGCTTTAAAGCAACCAATGTTGACATGCCCCCCAACGCCGTTCATCAACCAAAACTCTCCAAAGAGCATCATATCCTCTCCCTAGTAAGAAGGGTCACGGACGCCACCTTTTCACCCCAAAATCAAAAGTATTAGCTTTTGTCGAGAGACTGAGAAGTCAGCCTCGGCTTCGTTTGCCATGTGTCTGCGTATCGCCCTCCCGATTATCCAGCGTCAACATAACCCACAATATCATTCATCAAATTGAAAAGTCTGTAGCTGAACCAAGTTGCTTAGGGGTAAGCTGCTTGAGTGCTTGCTTGAGGGCCCACGAAGGGAACCCAAGTGCGACCAAGGGCCGGACTCTCTGAAGGTCCGAAAGGTAGAATCTCCTCGCGCCAGCCCAGCGCACTCCAGAGACCGACGTATCTCGGCTCAGGACTGGAAAGCTGCTGGGTGATGACGGCCCAGGCTGTGACCTGGTGAGTCTTGACCAGTTCAACGATCTGAAGCCGACGTCGCTCTCTCTCAGCTACTGTGTCTTTGACCACGCGGTAGATCGCCTCTGCATTTGGCCATCCGTTGGCCTTGTTAGTCGCAGCTTCGAGCAATGCTTTGAGATATTCGAATGGAAGATTGAGGAGAATTCGAGAGAGGACTGCGTTGAAAGGAGTTCGTTGCTGTGAGCCGCCTGAAGCATCCGAAGCTGGCGACACCTTGCCGTCAGTCAAAGAAAGGTCGCCGAACTGTATACCAGAAATCTGCTGAGAGAGACGTCCCTTGCCCTTGCCCTTGCCAAGATGCACGGATGTACCTCGAGCAATGGGTGGGGGTGAGAGCTTGCGGGTACTGGCATTGCTAGTCAGAGCAGTTTGTGGAAGACGAGCATAGCTCGAAGTGTCGGTCACTGAAGTGTCAATCTTGAAAGTAGGGCTGGTGTTGCTTGCAATAAAAGAGACGATCTCGTTGAGAATAGCTCGAGATCCATCGCCGTACTTCAACACATCATAAGACCCCTCGTCTCGGTAATCCTCCAAGGCAAACTCCAAAGCCTTCTCGACTGTCTCCCAGTTCAGAAGTTGCACAGCAACATCGCAACCGCGTCGCGTGACCGGATCCCAGCGGAGGAGATGGCCGGCTGCAGCATACGACAGAGCAAATTCGAAGCGGTCAATCAACTGGTTGTAATCAGCTGCAGCCTGCTTCATGCCCTCGGCAGCAGGATCCAACAGTGGCCACCCGTAAAGACAGTGAACGGCCATATAGAACGAGTCGGAGCGAATCCACTTGCTCTTGGTCTCGAGAAGGATGGTGGGAAGAGATGAAACATTGGGGTTGGATCGTGGCTGCTTAGCGATGGCGTTTGCGAGCTCAGTGCTGCGAGAAAGGATGACTCGGTGACCCGGAATGCGAACTGGAGGAGCTCTTTCATCCGCGTATCGAAGTTCCAAAACGCAATCAGCAAATTCCGGAGATGCAAACTGTTGCACCAAATGACCAATCAGGCCTTCAGCACCATCCATTGTAGACATCATGTGCGGGGGAGGTCCGGCATTCGGCATCATTCGCGGATACTCGGGACCACCAAACATTCTGCCGGGCTGGTTGGGAGACTGGTTTTCCTCGGGAGCTGGTACGCCATTTCGCGCTGGAGCTGAAGAAAACTGGTTGTAGACACTACCATCATCGGGAGGGCCTGATGCCTGTGAATCATGATAGCTGTGAGGGGTTGGCGGACCAAAATTGTTAGGGAAGGGAGGGAAAGAGTCCATCGGTCCATAAGCCATAGTAGGTCTTCCGTAGTTATCGAAAGTGGTGACCGGAACCTGTTCTGCGCCATACGGCATCATAGGGGGGAACCCGTTGGCAGCAGGGGTCATGTAGGGCCGGCCATCAGGACCTGTCATACCGGGAGGAGGGGCAATACCACCGGATGGAGGAGCAGGAGAGGAGCTCGTCGAACCGTGGAAACCGCCAAAATGAATGCTGCCATTGCTATGATGAGGCTGGTGCATAGGCGGACCGTTAGGCAGAGGAGCGCGATGGCCACGCATATCGCCGTTCACGTTTGGTCCCATAGGTCGAACAGCAGGTTGAAAGGAAGGGGGCATCTGGTATCGGCCCGGTGGGACAGCAGAAGGAGGTCGGCCTTTGTTGAGCTTTGAAGGTGGGTGGTTGTCTAAATTCGAGTTATGAGTATTTAAAAGGGCTTGAAAAAACTGTGAGTGTGGTTGCCTACCAGACAGAGTTTTGATGTCGCTCTTGCTTGAAACACCATTGGGCTTCTCGTTCACTCCGGCTGAGACCTTGTCGACTGATCGAGTCTCAACATCGACCTGGTTCTTGGGGGTGGGCTGATCAGAATGGCCTGAGACCACGGGGTTTTTGTGGATGTTTTCGCTTTCGTTAATGGTAGGATGTTCAGGACCAGATGCGGCTGCAATGAAAGAATTGTGTGTAAGTAAAGGGTCATTGGGTGCGTCTTGAAAATAGGCACGTCTGGAGTACTTACAGGAAGAAGCCTGGGTGTTGGTCGGGTCAGAAGCGCCGTTCTTTGTTTCTTTGTGAACGTCTGCCTTTGTTTCGGCCACCTCCTCGGCTTTGGGGGTCGACGTCGAAGTCGAAGTTCGACTAGCAATTGTGCTTGGAGCCGTGGCCACAGAATCATCCTTCTTAGCCTCAGCAGGCACGTTACCATTTACATGCTTCACCTCAATGGGGGAGCGCACATCCGGTTCCTGGATCGTGGTGGAGGCAGCAGTCGAAGAAACGGGGACAGCATTGGCACGAGCAGCAGCAGAAGCGGCCTGACGCTTCACATAAGGCAGAGGGATAGCAGGCATGACAGGCTTGGAGGACTGAGAGAGCTTGCTCCCGCCATTTCGGCGAGTCTTCATATTGCCGTTTTGGGGCGCCATTTCATGGACGAGATCGTTGACGGTTCGGCGGGGAAGGTATCGGCGGGCGATCAGCTAGCCAGCGCCAGGCCTCAGCAGAGGATTCGGAGGGAGGAGGGCTCTACGGATCTAGAGGAAGAGGCATGGAGAGCAAAAGTCTTCGTTATGACTGAAGTGCCCTTTTGTCGATTCTGGGCTGAAGGGTAAGGTAGTTGGCCGTGGATCGGAGGCGAACTGGCGATGCACTAGAAATGAGGGTCCAGGTGCAGCTATTTGTGCGGAGAGGAAGAGCTCAAGTAGGAGCGGATTTCGATGACGGGTGTGTACGGTAAGGAGGGTGAATTAAGGAATGAAAGGTAGCAAACCACAGGGTTTAGAGGAGATACAGTGCTGTAGGAGGTGATGAATAGGGAGAATTATGCTGTGAGAATTTCACCAACCTGGAAACCCGGATGATGATGATGTCGAGGAGGTGCTTCCAACGGCTTCCAAGCGATGGAGACGAGTCGCAAGGTAACAAAAATTGGGGCTTTCGTCACAATTTTTCTTGTAGGTACCTAGGCCAGACCAGACCAAACCCTTGAGGGGGAAGAAAACAACGGACCTTGATATGGGGTGTCAAAATAAACTCAGTAAAGGCCATGCTAAGCTTAGGCTTTATCACCTAAATCTTTTTGTTACTTAGGATCGAGGTCCTGAGTTTTCTTTCCTCCCCTAGCAAACCTACCTCAGACTTCCCCGCCGTGCTGTAGGTGCCCGCGGTAAGACTTGCGCTAAACTTCAGGGGCCTGGAGTGGGCTAGCGCAGCCAACAATACTCCCGCCCGTCGGATAGGTAGTAACCAACAAATAAAGGTTGAGCTTCTGCGGTGAACAGTCATCAGCCGGCTTCCGACATTTAACTCTGATTGCATGGAGCCTTGTTTGAGGGTTACAATAGGCTGGGTTTGTTGTTTGTCTACGGAAACTTATGCCAGTTGCCTATCAAAAGCACGGCTGCCTGCTTGTTCCCGTTTGACCTATGTGCATCAACTGATTCTTGCGGACGGGTACGCACTTGATACAAGGAGTACTGTTGCATGTTGGTCTACCTCTTTGATGTATTAGAGTCTCAACCCGATAAATCACAACCGCTGCAGGCAAATGAGCTGATGATAATCAAATTTAATCCCATCAAGTAAATGCTCATTGAATGCCCTGAAACGCCAGATCGAGACGCGAGTCCTGATATCTGGCTTGTTAACCTATTGCGCCCGCCAGTCCGCCCGTAATAAAACAAAAACTAGAATTAGAACAACATGAGGCGCTTCCCGATTACGATTCTCCCCAATTATTCTTCTCCGCTGACAAGTCTAGCGACGAGGACGTAGAAGAAGAAGGCCGCACCAGCGACAAGAAGTTTGTTGCGATAGATCCATCCTGTGCTGGCATCTCTTTGTTGGTTGACCACATCAACAACGGCTTGTGTTTGATGACCACTAGTCCCTGAAATACCAAGCTGAGGTCGACATGATCCGCTGTTATCAGCATCTAATCGTGTACCACTGACAGGGTCAACCTTGTTCTTGGTCATCCACTCCCAATTCTCAGCATCCACCTCTGGCCACTCTGTTCGAAACTTGGCGCCGCCATCTCCAGCCTTGATGTTGCCCCTCTGGATAGGGCCTGTCTTGCTGTGTGTGCCATTGCCAGTCGAGTTCCACCAGCGTGATCGAGCGGCGAGGGAGCGTCGTTCGGCGGCGCTGCTGGACACGGAACCGGTCGTCATCTCTTCACTTGTCATGAATGATAGAAGGCCGATTAGAATTGTCGAGACTTCCCACGCGGGGTTGAATGACTTCGGGTGGAAATCGGAGATGGACAGACATAGTCGCGACGACGGCTGGAATCGACCGGACGGAGTGTGCATGCGAATCGCGGGAGGAGCAAAGGGATAGTTTGGTGGGAACATGAGAGTGCCCCAATACTGGCCGCCATGGTAAGGAGTGTCCTCAGGACCGGTAATGATGTAGTGCCATCTAAGTTGTGTTAGCAAAGTTGACTCGCGACCAATTGTTGGGCGGCGTGACGTAACGTACTCTAGAATGTTGGACTCGGATGGATGAGCGACAATGTAAGGAGGAGGGTTCTCTGAGATGGTTTTGTATTCGCGTGTCAGCTATCCAATAATTAGTATTGCACGTTCAAGTGGTGGGAGTAGAAGTGCATACACGCTTGGTGGCGCCTTTGCTAGCCATGCTGACTGACGTTGGATTAGAAGTTGACAAAGAGAACGGGACAGATTGCGGGTCGCGTGAGTAGAATCGAGGCCGAGGAAATTAGCGAATTAAAGGAAAGTAACGAGTATCTATTAAACTCGGATGAAGTGAAAGAGAAAGATCTCTCTAAAAACTCAAAAGCAGCGATATCTTATGCTTGAGCGCAAATGAAGAGTGTATAAGTTGAGATGAATGGAGAGGAACGCAGGAGGAGGCACCCTTTGCCAGGCACAGTGGTCCCGCTAGGTCCGGATAGTTTGTGGCTGTGTATCACATGCCATCCTATGACGACGCCGAAGCGCCACGACTTTGAGCCACAGGTCTCAGGTCCACACCCACGGGAGCTCGGGAAGTACGTACCGGCGATTAATTGGAAGCTGGGCTGTCAGGGTCCAGTTGGTGGTCCGATACTCTTTAAATCGACATCGTGAGGCTATTGCAAGCAGAAACTCGGCTCTTGCGCTACCAAAAATGGCTGCAATTCCTGGGTCAACCGGGGGTCCGGTAATTCCATCACACTATTAATACACGAGAAGCGATCGTCTAACATGAATCAGTCCATGGACCCCTTTAACAAGCTTCATTCCGACACCGGTTCGTTATTGCATGAAGCAGAATCGAAGCCCGAATTCCAAAAAGAGCAAGATGAAGCCAAGCAACGGCGTCTGGCTCAGGTGGTATGTTTCCTTACCGATCCGAGCTTCAGATCATTTGCTAATGTTGTGCAGATTGGTGACCAGCAGCTGGCGCCCATGACGATCAACGAGCTTGGAATCCACGGTGCGGTCAACACACGAACAAACTTCCTCGATCCCATTTTCCAACCCCTCATTGCCGATGCCTCGAACGCAAGCTCGACTGTTGGCGATGTCATCAACAGTCTCCGTATCGCAAGCAACAAGCTCGATGGCCTACGTATGATTTCTAGTAGCCCTCACCGCAACACCAAATTAACTGATTTGTAGAAATATTCCAACCTCAACCCGAAGTCTACCTGACCTCTGCCCAACAGACCGATCCCTCTACCTCGCCCACCGATGTGAACGTCGATATTCGCGTCAAGGAACTGTCTCGATTCAAGCTCCAAACTGGTACCGACGTTGGCAATGGAGAGGGATCTGCTTATGGTTCGCTATTATGGCGAAACATGTTTGGTGGTGCTGAGATGTTGACGCTTAATGCAAAGGCTGGTACACGTACACGCTCGGCTTATAGCGCCACCCTTACCGCACCTGTCAAGAGTAACCCCGACATGAGGTTATCGCTTGAGGGTGTGGCTTCAGCCGCCGAAAAGCCATGGGCTTCTCATGAGGAGGTCCTCAAGGGTGGTACACTGCGATTCTCGTGGCTGAACCAGCAACGTGATACACAGTCCGTTGAGTATTCAGGCATCTGGAGGCAGATCACTGGTTTGGCCGAAAACGCCAGCCCAACAGTCCGTGCAGATGCTGGCGACTCTATCAAGAGCTCTGTCAAACACACATTCTACAGGGAAAGGCGTGATAACCCTCAACTTCCTCAGAGCGGATACATGCTCCGATCTGGACTTGAGGTAGCTGGTATTGGTCCTCTTGCTGGTGATGTTGCCTTCTCCAGGGGCGAGGTCGAAGTCGGTGGTGCCGTCCCAATTCCTTTGCCAGGCATTCGTGAGCGAACAGGAATCTCGATTGGTGGTGGATTCAGACTAGGTTTGGTCTGCCCGTTGCCTCTTGGGTATGAGTTTTCTGGAAAGCTTCGCTCTACTCGAATCAACGATCGCTTCCAGCTTGGAGGACCAACAGATGTTCGAGGTTTCAAGCTCGGGGGTCTTGGTCCCCATGATGGATCTGACTCTGTCGGAGGCGATGTCTTTGCTGCTGGCAGTATCAACATGCTTCTTCCAGTTCCCTACAAGGGACCCGATAGCGGTCTACGGTTCCAGCTCTTTGCTAATGGTGGTCGTCTCGTTGCTCTCAAGGACAGCAAGAAGTCCTCGAGCAGTGGTTCCACGCAGGAGCTGTCCGGAACAGCTGTCCGAAATGGCATGGTGAACGCAGTTGGTGAGCTCTTCAACGGTGTTCCCAGCGTTGCTGCTGGTGTTGGTCTTGTTTATGCTCACCCTGTTGCTCGTTTCGAGCTCAACTTCAGTCTGCCTTTGGCTCTGAGGAAAGGAGAGGCTTCAACAAAGGGGCTGCAGGTCGGCGTGGGAATCAACTTTTTGTAAAAATATAGATATCCTTATGACTGAAATACCACTCTTGCGTTTCAAATGCCAAACTGTTGTTGTTCCTGAGGACTGGTAATGAATTGCTCTTGTGGTCCTTGGTGGTATTTCAGTAAATAGCTCACAATTTCTCCTCCAAATATCAGAACATCTCTATTAACACACTGCTTTTTCAATCAACACCTAATCATCTCCTGGTTTCTGTATGGACCATTATTCTTACACTTCTTTCTCCTAGATCTCGCTCTTAATACTCGGTATCTTCAAGGTATTTATTTATTTTTATATGAGCTCTTTATCACCATTCCTCCATCGATCTTCTCTCGATCTTCTCTCGATCTTTACCCGATTTATACACTACGTTGCCCAGAATGCCCTCACAGTCTGAGCGATTGCTCCAGAGTCGCGAGAACTCCAGTGACTAACAGCACCAGAGAACGGCTGTGATTTTAGCTGAAGGTCGCTGGTGTATCAAATGCTCCAGGTCCGCCTTGAACAAGCTTAAGCACGACATAACAAGAGAGCCAAAAAGCCTCTTAA